GTTATGCTCCTATTAATAATGAAAGTACCTAGGTTTGCCATGTTCATAAAGACAAAGTTCTTTACATTTTTGTCAGACTGTGGTCAAAAAACAGGTATTTCATTTCAACCACACTATTATTAATGAAGTAGATTATCTTTCAGATATTAGCAATTTTCATTTCTAATATCTTTCAGATATTAGCAATTGATTTTCCTTGTAGTGGTCTAGATCCAATTTACAACATTCATTAAGCACTTGATAAACTGTAGTGATTTTAAAATTACACTATTCTCACTCAAGATTCCTTCATGATGGAAAAAAGAATTCTCAAAAATTAGGTGTAGAAGGTACATACATCAACACAATAAAGGCTACCTATGACAAACTTATGGCCAACATCATAAAGAATGGTAAAAAACTAAAACTGTTTCCTCTAAGGTCTGGAACAAAACAATATCCAGAAACACTCTTCTTAGGCATGAAAAAGAAGTAAAGAGCATCCATATCAGAAAGGAGGAAGTCAAATTATCCCTGTTAGCAGGTAGTAACATTTAATATGGAGAAACACCTAGACTCCACTATAAAACTGATAACAAATTCAGTAAAATTGCAGGATACAAAATCAACAAACAAAAAACAATAGCATTTTATATACTTATAGCATACTTGATGAAAAGGAAATTAAGAAAACAACCCCATTCATACTAGCTACCAAAAATGCAAAACAAAACAACAACAAAACATCCTAGGAATTAAATTTAGCCAAGAAAGAAAAAGAGCTCTACAGGGAAAATTACAAAACACTGATGAAAGAAAATGAAAATATGAAATGAAGAATGAAAAGATATCCCCTTGTGTTCACAGATTAGAAGAATTAATATTTTTGGGGGGGGGGAATGTAGTTGGATACAATGCCTTTATTTACTTGTTTTAAAATATCCATATCAAAAGTGATCTACGGATTCAATGCAACCCCCATTGCATTGTAGGGTTGTGGCTCAGTGCACTTGCCTAGCACACGTGAGGCACTGGGTTCGATCCCCAGCACCACGTAAAAAAAACTAAATAAACAAAATAAAGGTATTGTGTCCATCTAAAACTAAAAATATTTTTTTAAAAAATGCTAGTGACAGGTCTGGGGTTGTAGCTCATTGGCTGAGTGCTTGCCTAAAATGTGTGAGACACTGGGTTCCATCCTCAGCACCACATACAAAAATAAATAAGTAAGAATAAAGATATTGTGTCCATCTACAACTAAAAAAATAAAATATTTTTTAAAAATGCCAATGACATTCTTCACCAAAATAGAGGGGGAAATATCATAAAATTCATATGGAAACACAAAAAACCCTGAATAGCCAAAGCAATTCTGAGCAAAAGGAACAAAGCTGGGTGGAGGCATTACCATAGCTGACTTCAAAACATACTACAAAGCTACAGTAACCAAACAGTGTGGTACCAGTATAAAACTAACACAGAGATCAATGAAACAACAGAAAACCCAGAAATTAATCCATATACACAGAGTCACCTGATTTTTCAACAAAGGTTGCCAAGTGCATTGTAGGAAGGTTAATTCTCTTTATAAATTGTACTGGGAAAACTGTATATATATGTGCAGGAGAATGAAACTGGATCCCTAACCCTCTCCATATATAAAAATCAACTCAAAATGGATCAAAGACCTAAGACCTGAAACTAAAAAACTACTAGAAAAGAAAGGAAACACTTTAAGACATTGGTACAGACAGTGATTTTTTCGGGGGGAGGGGAGTAGATAAGATCCCAGAAACACAGGTAATAAAAATCAAAATGGACAAGTGGAATTATATCAAACTAAGATGCTTCTGTACAAGGAAAAAAAAAAAAAACAATCAACAGAATGAAGAGACAACCTGAAGAATGTAATAAAATACTTTGAAGTTATTTAACCAACAGGGATTGATATCCAAAATATTTAAGAAACGCAATTCAACAGCTAGAAAACAATCTGATTTTTAAAATGGGTGAAGAGCCAGGTGTGGTAGCACATGCCTGTAATCCCGGCAGCTCAGGAGGCTGAGGCAGGAAGATCACAAGTTCAAGGCCAACTCAACCATTCAGCGAGATGGTAAGAAACTTAATGAGACCCTGTCTCAAAATAAAAAACGGGGGCTGGGGATGTGACTCAGAGGTGAAGTCCCCTGGGTTCAATTCCTGGTACCAAAAAAAAAAAAAGGAGGGGGCAAAAAAAATCTAAATAGGCATTCCTCAAAAGAAGATATACAAGTGGCCAATAAGTAGATGAAATGCTTAATATCAAAATCATCAAGTAAATGCAAATTAAAACTACAATGAGATATCATTTTACCCATGCTAGAAAGGCTATTATCAAAACAACAAAAAAATTAAGAAATGTTAGTATGGATGTAGAGGAAGAAAACTGTTAAACCCTGTTGGTGGAAATGTAAATAAGTATAGCCACTATGGAAAACACTATGGAGGTCTTCAAGAAACTAAAACTAGAACTATCATACATGATCCAGCAACCCTACTACTGGGTATATATCCATAGAAAATAAAATCAAATGTATCAAAGAGACACCTGCACTCCCATATTTATTGCAGCGCAATTCACAATAGTGAAATCCGTATCTTGAAAATCAACCTAAGTGTCCATCAGTGTACAAAAGGGTAGAGCAAATGTGGTATACATACAATGGAATATTATTCAGCCATAAAAAGAAAGTCATGGCCAGGTGAGGTGGCACACACCTGTAATTCCCGCAGCTTGGAAATCCAAGGGAGAAAGATTGCAAGTTCAAAGCAAGCCTCAGCAAATGTGAGGCACTAAGCCACTCAGTGAGACCCTGTCTCTAAATAAAATACAAAACAGGGCTAGGGATGTGGCTCAGTGGTTGAGTGCCACTGAGTTCAATCCCTAGTATTCCTCCACAAAAAAGAAAGTCGTTTGTGTCACTATATATACAATTAGAGGGCATCATGTTAAGTGAAATAAACTGGACACATAAAAGACAGTATTGCATATTTTCATCACTCATGTGAAAGCTAAAAAAGTTAATATCTCAAAAGAGGATAGAACACCGGTCACTAGAGATTAGGAAGGGTAAAGCAGGTGGAGGATAGACAGAAGGTTGGATAAAGGGTACCAAGTACAGCGTTACACAGGAGGAATTAATTCTAGTATTCTATAGCATAGTAGGGAAACTATACTCTACAAAAATTTATGATATATTTCAAAATAATTAGAAGGGTCCAAAGATTCCCAAAACAGAGAAATAATAATGCTAGAAGAGACAGAAATGTTAATAACTCAAATCGAGTCATTATACATTATACATATTACTGTTAAATTTTTTTTGAAATTATACTTTTTAGGGCTGGGGACTTAGCCCAGTGGTAAAGTGCATGCTTAGCATGCTTAAGGACCTGGGTTCAATTCCCAGTATTACAAATTAATTTTAAAAAATACTTTTAAATTTCTCCTATATACTACAAATTATCCTAAGTAAATCTTTTTTTTTTTTTTTTAGTTTTTAGTTTTAGGTGGACACAATATCTTTATTTTTATGTGGTGCTGAGGATCGAACTCAGTGCTTCATGTGTGCTAGGCGAGCACTCTACCACTTGAGCCACAATCCCAGCTGCCCAAAGTAAATCTTACTTTTAAGAAATTTAATTATAAATTAAAATCCAGGGATAGCTTCTCCCAACCTTTTAAAAACAAAATTCAAATTTGTTACTCTGGTTTACAAACCTCTACATAATATGGCCTGCCTATCCCTCTGGACTCTCAGTCTTCTTATCTTACTGTCTAGGATGTAACCACACTAGGCATTTTTGTTTCTAAAATTTAAAAACTTTATCCAGCCTTGTAATTTTGCATTTGCTATTTCCATCTGTCAGGAATGTTCCTCTCCCTGACCTCATCATGGCCCACCCCATCTTCCCAGTCAAGCTCAATTAAATATCACCTCCTCAGAGATGCCGTCCAGTCAAAAGTAGCCTTCTAGTCACATGCTAGTATGATACCTTAATTTTCTACAAAGCATTTATCACAAGGTAATATTGCCCATTATCTGTTCACTATCTTCCTCTCACGAGAATATAAACTCGATAATAGCAGTGAACCAGCATTTAGAGTAAATTCACAGATTTATAACCAAAGTTTAGAACAGCACCCAGCATGTAGGTACTCACTGTGTCTTTGTTATCAGTCTAATCTTATTTTGATACCAGTGTATGAGGCTATGATTTCATCAAAGAATGCTTAACAAAATTTTGTCTTTTACTGAATAAACCCATTTGACTATATTAACAGAAAAGTAATAAATTCAAATAAGATTATTTTAGACAGTCTCAGAGAATTATGAATAAACAATAAAAAATATATTCACACAAAACCAAGATGTATTTTTTCAGTGACTAGATTAAAAAAAACAACAATACCACCAAAAAACACTTTGGAAATGTTGCAAATTTTACAAGAGCTTTTGGAGGAAAAAACCCAACAGATGAGTAGATAAACAAATTGTGGCATAACTATACAAATATTATTACTAAGTAATAAAAAGAAATTAAACCTTATTGATACATAAAACTTGGGTTGAATCTTAAATAATTGTGATCAGTAAAAGAAACCAGGTTAAGAGTATCATACATACTATATGATTCCATTTAGATGAACAGAGGTAGAAAGCAGCAGTGGTTACTTGGGATGGGGGAAGCAGGAAGGTGGAATTTCAGAGGGAACTAGGATATGTATAATTACTCAACATCAATTACTGCTTAGCTTCTCAAAAAAATAATAAAATTTAAAATAAATATTTTTTATAAACTTTATAAGCATTACAAGGTAGTTAACCATTTAAATGAAATGAACCAATCATAAGCCAATTTCTAACAACTCTTTTTGTGCACGCACTGACATCAAACCCAAAGCCTCAGGCATGCTAAGGCACTCTACCACTGAGTTACATCCCTCTAATAGCTAATATTTTAATATTAAACTCTATTACCTGTAGAAGATGGTGATTTCTCTGAGTGTTTTGCATTTAAAAGTTTTCTGCTAATAAATATGTAACCACAGGGACATGATTTACAAGCAACAGGAACCTGTGGGGAAAAAAATAAAAATATATTACTTTTTCTATTAGATTTTCAGTGCATATTATCTCCACAAATGAATGATAAGTGGCAATCTGATTTATTTAAACCCTACCTCCTTACAACAAATTATATACATATTCACATTCTCCTAGTGCTTACTATACTAATACCATAACAGTAAACGCATGACAAATATGTGCGGATATGAGTAATCAAGAGAAAACCTTTTCAGGGTCAAAACCAGAGGAGGTACATAGGAAAAAGTATCATTTCCTAAAATGTTAATTGATAGCAGTTTATGCTGCAGAACAAACTGTAATCCCAGTATAAGATTATGAAGGCTCAACTGGAATAGTGAGAATGAAAATGGAGAAGAGGTAGATTTACCAGATGTTTCAAAACCAGGAAAAACAAGACTTAGGACCAAACTGACCACAGTGGGAAGAACCAAAAATACCTCAGGGTTCTAACAAGAGAGGGGACTTTAACATTTTATAACCACCAGGTTTTTTTTTTTTTTTTTTTTTTTTGGAGGAGGGGAGGGATGGGGGGGAATATAATATAATTAAAATAGAACGTAGGAGTTGAGATCTAAGATCTTAAAGTCTCAACTCCAGGAACAATCTTAGACTAAACACTTTAGTTCTTTTATAGGCTTCTGTTGCCAAATCTGCAAAATACTTATATTCCTTTCTCAATTTCATACCTATAAATATTTCAATAGATACATATTATTAAAAATCATTTAAATTTTTTTAGTTTCCCCACCATAAGCATTTCATTAATATTTAGTTAATAATCCTTGGAATCACAATTTCACCAAAAGTCAGAAACTAATCTTAACAAAAAAGTACTCTCTGAGTAATTATAGCCAGAAAACTGAAATTCTCTGGGTAAGATAAATTCCGTTTGCCAGTTGCTCTGCTTAAGTTATAATTATAAAGCTTTTTATCCATATATGTACAAAATGTCTCAGATTCTAGAATATATTCCATCTAATTAAGCTAAATTGAAACTTTGGCAGAAGAGTTCTTTTTCTTTGCATAAAAATACCCAACAAAGGATCTCTAATTTGCATTTAAGAGATATAACAATGATCCTATAAAAAGATATGTCTAACAAGCTTATTTTATTAAGATTGTAATGAGATTCCTTCCAAACCTTGATGAAAAATGTAATGTTACATTTTTAATAGTGTAAAATCTGCCAAAATTGATTATCATTTTTAAAATTCACATTGTTTGGTTTCTCTGAATAATAAGATGATAATAATAATAAGGTACTTATTTCCTTTATACCTAAACATATCACAAGGGCCTCCACAATAATGTAAACTATTTAATGCTATCCAAAAAACACAGAAGCATGATGTTCTTACTCAACATCAACAGCTCCTTTGCTAATCCTAATCAGCAAGCATTTTCTTCCAACTACGAGAATCCAATAAATTTAGATGTCTGTCATACAAAAGAAAATCATATCAACCTATGTTATATCCAGAATTAGGAGAGTGCAGCAGTTAAATGAGAAATACACATAGGGCTTTGGAATCCAGATGCACACACATTAACTCAATTAATAATTTGATCTTCATCTCTTAATGAGTTCTGATCAAGAAATCTTTGTGTGTATCAGCTAATTTACTCTAAAGTCCTGTTTAAAATGGAAAGTCCCTCCCAACTACTGCCCTAGAAACAAAACCACCAATCATCACCACACCCTAGATTCTGTTTAAAAAAAAAAAAAAAAAACTATGAAATAGGTTAGGTAACTTAAGCAATACTAATCTCATTATATTAACTAAAATAATTTGGATCTTATGCAAATATCCAAAACTTCCCTTAAATTTCAGTTGATAATACTGAAGACAATTGTAATAAAAAATCTAATGCTATACTTTCACAATTTTAAAATTTAAAAAAACCAAAAATATTGTTTATTGATGATTTATTATTTATCAACTCATTTCTTCAAAAGTACATATATTTGTTGTATTTTAAGTAAAACAGTTTTTTTAAGTACTGAAAAAAAAAAAGATCCTGGTCCTACATTGCTTTACTGATATTTCAAAAGCTCTAAAATAACCATATTACAGAGAACTCATTTACAGTAGTTCCACCTTATCCAGTTTCACTTTCTGAAGTTTTAATTACCTAAAATAAAAAAAAGGGGGGGGGGTGAACACAGTACAGTAAACTATCCTGAGATCCAGATAAACTATATTCACATAATTTTTACAATATATTTGTTATGATTGTATTTTATTATTGCTTATTGATTTCTTACTATGTATAATTTATAAATTGTTTTAGCAGAGGTATGTTTGTATGTATAGGAAAAAATATTGCATTCAGAGTTTCTTACTATCTGAGGTTTCAGGCATATGCTAGGTAATCTTGGAATATATTCCCCTGCAAATGAGGGTAAACTACTACAATTATTTTTTCTTGAAATACCTGGGATTGAACTCAGGGACACTTTAACACTAACCTACATCCCCAGTCCTTTCTATATTTTTTTATTTTGAGACATGGTCTGGCTAAATTGTCCAGGCTGAACTGGAACTTGGCAGTCCTCCTACCTCAGCTTCCCAAGTAGTTGGAATTACAGACATGCGCCACCACATCCAACTAAACTGTATATTCTTTACTGCTAAAAGAACCAAAGTTATGTAGAGCAGACACATATATTTTATAAAAATGAAGGTAAAAAAGTACATAAAAGACACCAGAAAACTGGCAAGAATCTTGAAAATTACTACACACAAAATGGCTTAGTAATTTTGAGTGGTCAGTGGATGTGAAACTCCATTGAAAATGAAGAGCACTGTGATTTAGATGTCTTAGAACTATTATTTTTGAGAGGCCAATGAAAGAGATGTTATAGAGCAGCTGAAAATCTAGCTCTTTCCTGTTTGCTTCTCTGTATCTTATTTTTTTAAACTTGAACACAGGATATGCAAAATTAGTCAAGTATAGAAATCTCAGACTTTAAAGATTTTACATCTATGTTTAACAACTAAATTCAAAGTTAATGTTCACTAGGTAATTTAAAGTTATAAAAGTAATAGCATTATTCTAATGTTGTTTAGAAAATTGCTTTCTTGATTGTAATTTTTTTCCAATTTATAACTAAAAGAAGCTTAGACTATAAATTGGTGGGGGATATTGAGTATTGACCCAAGGGCACCTTACCACTGAGCTACATTCCCAGGCTTTTTAAAATTTTTAAATTTTGAGACAGGATCTCATTAAGTTGCTGAGGCTGACCTCAACTTACAATCTTCCTGCCTCAGCCTCCCAAGTTGCTGCAATTACAGGCATGCACCATAATAATAAGCTTAGTGATTCTTAAAAAGTGATTTTTCTTTTAGTAAAAGTAATTTAAACTTATCTTCTGCTTATTTAAAAGTATATGCTTCTTTTTCACGGGGTGTGTAATCCCAGCAATTCAGGAGACTGAGGTAGAGAGTTGAAACTTAGTGTGACCCTATCTCAAAGTTGAAAATAAAGAGGGCTGGCGTGTGGCTCAGTGGTAAAGCACTCCTGGGTTCAATCCCCAGAATCACCAAAAAAAAAAAAAAAAAAAAAATCAACAAAACTTTTAGTTTGTCAACATGCATATTATACTCTTTTAAGTGATTAAAGAACAAAACAACCACGAACATATTGTGTAATAGCTTGTTATGATCACATTTTGTCCCTCCCACCATCCACTCAAAAATTCACATACTAAAGCCCTAACTTCCAATGAGATGGGTTTTGAAGATAAGGCCTTAAAAGAAATAGTAAGGTTTAGATGAGGTCAGGAGATAGTACCTTCATAATCAGGTTAGTGACCTTATGAGAGAGTTTGCCCTGTCGCTGCCACTCAGAAGACAGCCAGCTAAACCAGATGCAGTGGTACATGGCTGGAATCCCAGCTTCTCTAGAGGCTGAGGTAAGAGGATCACAAAATAAAAGCTAAATAAAAATCATAATCATCATCATCATAGTAATAAAGAGAGCCAGCATCTGCAAGCCAAGAAAGTCCTCACCAGAATACTGATCTTGGACTTGCAGGCTCCAGAACTATAAGAAAATAAATTTTTGTGGATTAAGCCACCCCATCATGGTGTTTTGTTATAGCAGCCACAGCAAACCAAGATACAGCTATTTTTATACAAGTGAATATATGTGTATAATGAAATTAAAGTGATCTTTCAAAATAAAACACTGTTCATGTTTTGCTGAACAGTGTCAGGGTCTCCTACAAGTTTATTATCCTTTGCTCTTTCTTTAACCAGGATATTAAAAACAGATTATTTTCCCCAAAAGATAACTTTTTGCCAAGTAAAACAAGAACAGGATTTGCAATGACTTGTGCCCTACAGAAACTGGAATGCACAATGGATACCATGTAAACCTTATAAACAATTAACTGGAATAAGTTGAAATTATTGCCAACACACTTAATTCACCATGTACAATTTTTTAGAATTTAACAAATTTAGTATAATGGTAAGTGAAAGTAACTATTTTAGAAAATATGACCAAATTGTTTTGATGCTGCATACTTGTAAGGCTCAACAAAATGTATTCTTGCACAACCTTTCTCTCATCACATTTTTATCACTACCCATAAATGATACTAAAATATTTAACGTGTTTTCTGTTACAATATTTGGTCAACCTATAAGATCGCTTCTGAAAGAATGCATCTAAAATCAGCTTCTAAAATAACGTCTCCAGCCATTTCAAATTACTCTTGATTTTTTTTTTTTTTTAAGGGGAGGAGAAAGAGGTAGTCATTTTGAAAAAATTCACTCTGGAGAAGGAAAACACACCCATATCTGCATGCTGGCATGAAATGGGGGTCTTACGAATGGTTTTAATTGAGGAAGTTTTAACTCATTAGATGGAAAGGCTTAGAAGAACATCTGCTATTATAGTAAAGAATGAGGCATGCTTAAATTCGGGGTTTTTTTTTTTAATTACAACCATTGCAACATGAATTTGGTGCAGACAAGAATCATTTCAAATTAATGAAACCACATGAAAAATGTTTTAAAAGATCTGGAAACAGAAACGTCAAATTTATAAGTGATTATCGCGACGGGTGGGATGAGGAGCTTCCAGGAGGGAAGGGCTTCATCGTGGACGTTGTTCAATCATGTTCCATAAAAAAACAATGTAATGAAAGAATCAGAGATTACACAACATTAAAAATATAATAAACAGATCTAGAAGAAAAAAATCCAAATTCGCAAAAACTTAATATTACATCGCGGCCCCTTTTGTCATTAAGCGTCCGCCCAAGACGCTGTCTGGGCAATTTTGGGAGATCACCACACACAACTGAAATGGGAACAAAGCAACCCTGTGTGGCAGGACGGAGCCTTCAGAGCCAGGGGCCTGGACTCACTCGGAGTCGGGCACACCGGGCATTCCCACCAGCCCAAGGGAACTAGAAGGGGCCGTGCTCCTCCACTGGGGCCGCGGCCCCCAAGGTCCCAGAGCTGTCACCCGTGGCCCGCAAGGCGACTCCGTAAGGTCCCGACACAAACCCACGCCCCCTCCCGCGCAGCAGGGTCAGACCACCCGGGGGCCTCTAGTCTGACCACCGCCAGGCGGAAAACCCGCCGGTCACCGGCCCCGGTCGTTTCCCCGGCAACCCCGTGGCTCCGCCCAACCGGTCCCGGGGTCCGGCCGCTGCCACCAAGAATCGGGCCGGCCCACCCGCTCGACCGCCAGGAGCCAGGCAAGGCGGCCTTTGCTTAGCCAACGGCCGCCAAGCAACGGCCGCCGACTGCGCGCACCCGCCCCGACTGCTCGTGCGCTCGGCCCCCAGCGCCCACCTGTTGGTCGCACTCGGGGCATGATTTGGTGGCCATCTTCACTTTCTTGGCTCGAGTTGCAGACATGCTCCTCTCCTTCGGCAACGACGGCTCGGGCTCCTCCCCTAAGTACCTCAGCAGCCCGGCCTCCGCCCGCCCCGTCCCCACTCCCGTAGGTCTGACCAAAGATCTGGCGGCGCGCGCGCACGTGCGCGAGCTCGCGCTGGGCCTGCGTGCTGAGGGGCGGGGCGCGGCGTTGGCCGGCGGTGGACAGCGGGTCCCCGGTGCCCGCTCCTCGGGACTGCGGCTCACTCTCCCCACCACGGTGGGTCAGCTTGTGCCCTGCACTTTGCCCGGCCTGGAGCTCGCCTCGAGTCTCACGGGAAGACTTCCTGGACAGTCTGGCGTGGCAATGGCCAAGTCTTCCAGGCCTGACTGTGGGGGGCGTGGCTCAGGGTAACGGGCGTCGAACTCAACCAATAAATGCCCGGGTAGGTGCTGGGCACGCCCCCTCCCTAGTAGTAGAATTCTGGAGTGAAAGGGGCTGCGGACGGTGAGGGGCTTAGTTTAGCACAAGTCCCGGGATTAATACACTTCGGTTAGCAAGGCGAATCGGTGGGGAATTATAAGTGTTCTCCATGCCAAGCACTGGACTTGGCACTACACAGTATAAAATTTGTTAATTTAAATATTTTGAGGGCCAGTTCGACCAGGCAAATGTGAAAATGTTTGCTCTCAAAGAACATGCAGTCTAGTGGTGTAAATGGTCTCACCGCAAAGCTGAGATATTATTGGGAAGCGTAAATAGGTTGACTATTAAAAGCCAGTTAGACTTTGACCTAGCAACCCACCTTAAGGAACCTGAATAAATATTCTCCTCCTGAGCTCACTTCTATTTGTGCAAAGATTACTGCACTATAGCACTCCTGGTTAGAACAAACTTTTGGGAATAACCTGAGAATCCAATAAGTTACATGAGGCAGTTAAAGAGTAGACATACAAAAAGAATATCATTACAGCTCTTAAGAATAGATCTATATGAAAATCACCAAAACACCATTTAAAAAAAAAACACACACTATTTAAAATGTAACTCTGGTGAGGGGCTGGGATTGTGGCTCAGCGATAGTGTCTCGTCTAGCACGTGCGAGGCCCTAGGTTCTATCCTCAGCACCATGTAAAAATAAAATTTTTAAAAAAGGTAAAAAAAAAATGTAACTCTGAGGTACAAATGTGATATTTATTCTTGTAGATGCATTAACAAACTGCAGGACAATAGTAAGAGACAGATTTCTTTATTCAGACTGGGACAGTATGAGCAAAGGCAAGGGAGTCAGTAGTTCTGTGTTGTAGGTATACCAAGGGCAGGGCAGAGTCAAGGCTGGAGAGTAGGTTATATCCACCTCTAAGGGAATTTGGGTTTTATTCTTAGGGCATTGGGACAACAAGGTAAGACAGAATTAGGTTTGAAGTTGAGAATGATTATCAGGTATCAAACCTGAGGCAAGGACAGTAGGGAAGAATAGGGACAGGACTGAAAAAATATGAAGGTCATAGTATTAGCAAAAGTGGGATGGGGGTAGGGCTGCAAGGGACATTTCTTGGATGGCTAAAATCTCTATGAAAAAAACTGGGGAGAAGAGGTAACAACGGAAGGGTAGCACTTCAGTTTTCCTCTGATGAGAATAGTGTAGGGCATAAATCAGAAAACTAGGCCCTGAAGAGAGTTTTCTGAAAATCTCATCTGAAATGTGTTTCTTTCTGTAAATTTCCTAGAAAAGCAACTTGGCTGGAGTGGGTTTTAAAGAAGAGGTCTTTAACACTATGGGGTCTGTGTAATAGTTAAACCAAATACACACATGGTCTATGACCCAGTTCCCACTCCTAAGTATTTAAGAAAAATGAAAACATTTTCACAAAAAGACTTATGCAAGAATATTCATAACAGATTTATTAATAACATATACAGACTGGGGAAGGGGGAACCAAAGACTACTCATCAAGCAGGTAAACAGACAAATTGTGGTATTCATGGAATACTAACCAGCTTTAAGAAGGAGCAAATTTTTGATACACATAACAAATTGGATGAACATCAAAATGGTAGTAGCCAGGCATGATGGCACACAACTGTAATCCCAGCAACTCAGGAGGCTGAGGCAGAAAAAGAACAGCCAATTCAAGGCTAGCCTCAGCAACTCAGCAAGGACCTGAGCAATTCAATGAGACCCTATGTCAAAATAAAAAATGTGCTGGATATGTAGCTCAGTGTTAAAAGCACTCCTGGGTTCAATTCCCAGTATAAAAAAAAAAAAAAAATCTGTGTAGTAAAGGTTTTATATGTACTATGCGATTTCATTTATGTGGAAAACTATTCTATGGTAGAAAAACAAAGCATGGTTTGCCAGGGTAAGTGAGGTATGAGGGAACTTTCTAGACTGATGGTAACAATCTGTATCTTAATAGCAATTTGTGTTACAGAAGTGTTTGCATTTGTTAGTACCTACAAAATGGTACACCTAAGACTTTACTGAGCTAAACTTTACCTCAAATAAGAACCTTAAGCAAATATTGAACATTAAGTGGTGATGTGTATGCTGAAGTATTTAATTACTTCATATATACTTTTACCTTAAAGTGAAATGTGCTGATGCACAATATATATTGAAATAAGATAATAATATATTATATATATAATATATTTCAATATATATTGAAATAAAATAATAAAAAAATAAGATGAATAATTGATAGGTAGATATGTGGGTAAATGATCAAGCAATTATAGTAAAATATGGGTACAATAGAAAAGTGGTATAATCAGCATTTAGGATTTACTATAAATTTCAAATATGTTACATGTCTGAAGTTTCCATAAACTATAGGAATCAAAACCTACTCGTTTAAGCCATTGTTCATTAGATTTTTAATTATTTGCTGTAGGATATAATCCTTACACTGATACCAACACAAAAGTTTTCTACAAAGTGAATTAATTTGCCTTTACATTTATTATTCATTTAAGAAATATTGAATAAGTATATACTATGTACTGGGCCTTGTGTTCTTGATGAGGATATGATCTTATAAACAAAATAAAGTCCCCGTGCTTATGAATATTATAAACTAGTGGAAAAGGTAGACACAAACACATAATCACTGTTATTAAAATTATGAAGGAAGCACATTCAGGCTTTAGGGCAGGAAGGACGTAACCTGTGGTGGCTAAAGGAATCAGTAAAGACTTCCTTGAGGGAATTTGCATGATGTATAGGTTTTGTATGTACTGTGTGATTCCATTTATTGAGCTAAAGGAATTAATGAGATGGGGAGGGATAGCAAATATTCAGACAGAACAGTAAAAGTGAAAGAAGTCTCTGTGGCTGCAGCACCAATGGAAAGAGGACGAAAGACGTACCCTGCTGAGGATGGGTACTCTTTCAATTCACTTTTCACTAGCTTTTGATGCTATTACTTACTTTGCCCAAGATCTTGCATGTACGCTGCTAAAGTGGCTATAGGTGTTCTAGTCTCAAAATATCCAATTAGACTAGGCAGGAACTTTAATAACAAGTATTAAATACTTGATGAAATAAAATGGCTATTAAATGCCACTTTTTATTCTTTTTTGCTATTAGGACTCAAGATACTGCAGGGACAGGGTAGCAGCCTTCATCTCCATTCCTTTCCTTATTTTGACATTCGAAACAAATTTTCTACCAAAGATTCTTTTTAAAGCTTTTCCTTCTTCTTTGGAAAAGGAGAATGAGAACATTAGGATGCTTGGTAAGTCTATACAGGTATAAATTTTCTCCTTTGTATTAGAAATCCAACATAACTATTAAATTTTAAAAATTATAGATTTAAATCCCTACTCTTCCAAGGCAATGGAGGATTATCCCAATGATGAAAATCTAGTCATTTTGTGTTGATTCTTTCACATATACCCTCCATACGCCTAAAATGAAAGGCTGCAATAAAAAAAAAAAGTTTAAAAAAGAAATAACTGTCAAGGACAAAGGCATAATAAGCCTCCACTCTGTCCTAACAGCTTTTCTTTTCTTCCTACATGACTAATAACACACTGGGTGGGAACATTCTCTGGAGAAAAGCCACAGGGTCTAAGCAACTCAAAGAGCTAATGTGCGTTTAGAGCTGGGTAACTCTGATCTATGCTAGTCAGGCATCAGCCTTCATTTGAGCACTGAACTCAGCCCACTGGCCTTCCTTGGATGCCAGAGGGCCCTCTAGGAGCCCCATACCTTACTTTGCCTCCATTGCTTTTTCTTTCATATATTACTAAGTACTACTTATTGGACATCTAGTCTGTGTCTTGTTCTTCATATTGTCACTCAAACCCTACATAGTGGTAGCAAATTCTACAATTAAGGAAAGCAAAGTTCAGGAAGTATATGAAGAAAGAATGTTTCTTTTGTCAAAATAGAAAACCCAATTCAAAGTGGCTCAGGCAAAATGGGTATTTACTAGCTCACATCCAAAGTGGCTCAGGCAAAATGGATATTTACTAGCTCACATCAAAAAACAAAAAAACTCTAACGGTAGTACTGGTTTCAAACACAACTGTATCGAAGCACTCACAAAACCACAGGGCCCATTTCTGTCTCTCTTATGGGAGGTAGTAGGTAAGATCACTGGGATAGTGTAAAACCCTGTATCTGTTCCTTTTCCTGTCTCATCATGTTTCACTGCTTCTGTTTTGGGTTTCCTACCTATCCACAAACCACCACACTGAATTGGATAAGAATATCCCCTGATAGTTTTAGACCAAAGCCTGGCCTCCTGCTCTGCAGTTTGAGAAGTCTAAAGGGGAAAGACAGATGGCCATAAAATAACAACTGCCGTTTACTCTAAAGAAACTAAGTAACTATACATCATCACATTCTTTCACATTGGTCAAGCTACTTCTCTTGTGCTCTGTGACTACTAAGCTTCACCCTCATACTGATTTGAAATAAAAGTCCTTCCCACATTTCTGGTCTCGGCTCTGTACCAGAATGGCATGATTTAATCAGAGGCTTCATTCTCTCTGCAGCAAGGCAGAGTCCACCAAAACAATGGATTTTCTTTGACAAACCCAAGGATAAGTAGTAAATAGGCAGATGACTTCAGATCAAAGCGCCCAGCCAGGGAGGTAAATTAGACT